TACAAAGTTTGTTAAGCTTTCTTGAAATCTGTGTTGATTTTCATCAAAATGAAGAATTAATGTAAATATTAATTTTTGTTTTGTCATTTATTTATTTATTCTTCAACTTCATTTTTAATTTCAAGGTAAATGTTATAGGTTGCCGGTAGGTTGAGTTTTAACCCTTAACGGCTACATGAAACAACTCCAGCTAATTTAGCTCCAATTTTAGCCATCTTAAACCTTGAAAATCTGAATAGTTACCTTTTTTAAGTCCCCGGTATTTTTACTATTTTTTGCCGCAAACTATTATATCATACGAATGTTCAACTTAAATTTTAGCTCTTTATATTAAAATCGTAAAAAGTTTTGAATTATTCTGTGAAAATAATGTTTCCATTTTTTAACGTTTCTGAATTTTTGTTCATATTCAACGTTCAAATTAATTGAAATCAGCTGTTAGATATATTAAAACAATTTTCAATGATTATTTATAATTTTCAAGTTAGAATAATGAGTTTCTCTGTAAGAAATTAATGGCTAGGATCCCAGTGTGCCAGGTATTCTGATGAATTATGCTCATTAAGGTTTAATCAATATTATTTGATAATAGTTGTACAAATATTCTGTGAAATTCAGAACGTAGAAAAATTCCGAAAATTTGGTAATTTGCCAATTTACAAATTAAGAGATATGAATATTTAGAATTTACGATTTGCCATCTACAAGTACAATTTCAAATTGATCGTCGCGTTGTAACCATTACTGCACTCATCGATCTCTGCAAGTTCACTGATTAATTACAAACCTGTTCGCTTCTCTACCGGTTGAACAACGTTGTTTCGTTCCAAATCTACCATCAAGCGCATTATGTACATAGAAACAAGAAAGATCGCGTTTTCAGCGCGGCTCTCGAACTTAATTATACCTTCAAGAACTTTGGCCCTCTGACAGGATCACTTTATATAAATACAGGTTTCGTAGCGGCATTTTATCAACAAGAGATATTCACCTCGAGTGGCATAAGTCGAGAACCCATGTAAGTACTTTTGCTCGGCAAATCCATGTGCGTAAATTTTATCTTTTTATTGTATACAATCACATTAACATTAATTACATTTAGACGTTCTGGTATTTGTTGTTTAAAGAGATGATATGTAGTTATTTTACAAAAACAAGAAATACGATATTTTGTTTAAAATGATTTTCAATATTTTTTATAAAATTTTTAATAATATAGCAAAATGAAGTTTTACTTTTAATCTAAATTTTTCTTAAAGTCAAATAAATAACATAATCTCTGAAATAACTCTTTTTATACAAAACAACTAGGGCTACTACTGCATCTGAATATCAATGTAACTGTACACTATTTTATAATTAATAGCTATGTACTATTTCAGTATATATACTTATAGGTATAATCTTAATAAAAAATATTACGTATACTAATATTTAAAATAGAATTTCAACCCCCTGAAGAAGCGATCAGATACCCTATTCAAAATTCTCCCGGCATTCACCATCGCAGATTTTACAGAATTTCATCACACAGTTATTTTTATTTTTGTTAAAAATTTGTATTAAAAACATAAGTGATTGCTAACATTCTACAGTTTGTTTATACTTGTCCCCTATAATTTAAACGCGATCGCGTTCGAAAAAGGCTAAGACCTTAACCTGTCGGTAAACGAAAAGACGAATGAAACCGATCATTTAAGCAGACGATCGAGCAATTGCGTTTAATGCAATCTCGACCTCGATGTCAAATAACGTGTCTTTAAATTGATAGTCATCGAAAGTCGTGATCTCTGAAACCGAGAAAATGATTTCGCTATATTGAAAGATATTACGTAAGAAACCTATGAAAGATCAAACACGATGAGCCAGAAGACTATCTATCGATGGCCCGAGGAATCTGCGTGTAGCCGAGCTGGTATCGATCTCCGGAGAACCAGTTTAGGATCAGCCACGAAAAGAAACGAAAAAAGACGAAACTGGGAGAGCACGAACAGTCAAAACCAGCGTGCAGAACTGAGCATTGTAAGAGCGATCGTAAAAATAGTGATGGAGCGCGATCTGTTCGAACCCTTTGAGTCCGAGAGGCGTAGGAAATGGCGTTTCAAGTGCAATTAAATTCAAAATTAAATAGTTCAATTTATTCTATATTCATTATAGACTTATGAAATTCAAGATATATACATATTCATTATTATTAAGTTTAATATAATTTGATAATATGAAACTACTGTTAGTGCTGCTACTGACACTACTTGTTTGTTTCATAATAGTTTGAAATTTCGAGTCTGTCGAAGATTAATTTAGAAATATGTAAATCTAATTTGACAACAAAATTTGGCAAGGTATAACTCACATAGAAGTTTAAAGTTTAATGAAGAATCTTGACTATTTATTTAACCATTTTAGTACTGAAATTACAAGCTTAAAAGACTATAATCTTCATTAGATCAATTATGTAATACACATAAATTATTCTGACAAAATGCTTATCAATAATAGCAAGCGAATTTATTTGCTGAAAGTTTAGTGAATGAACATTTGCAACAATCTAATATTACATACTAGAAACCACGATCACGTTCGACCTCAGTTTCTCCTCAAACGTGCGAACTGTAATACCACATATTTTCTCAGAAATTATCAGAACTACCTCTGTATTTACTACATATTACCAAATATCTTATATGTTATCGATTTATCACGCGTAACACAGTCTTACGACAGTATACATGTTTTTACATTTTACTACAGAGCTACTATAAATCCCATCGAGTCAATTTTCTCGTAAAACGCAGCTGCTATGAAACGAGTATGTAAATAAATTGCGTACGACGTTATTAAATAACGTTGATAGAAAAATGTGCATGAGCGTGTTACAGGAAAATTTGCATGGAATGTATTGTTTATCGATTAAAGAAATATTAGAGACAACGAGTTTGAATCGCTACAAATAATGTTAGAACTTGGATTGAAAGAAGCGGAGAAAAAATAATAAGTTTCTCTTGTAACTATTACACGCCGATAAAATGCAAATTAAACTACAGACTTATAATTTTCGCGATACAAGCGAGATAAGAACGATCGACTTCCATCGAACGGATCGGTGTCTGTCGACCACGGAAATGGCGATACCCTGAAACCTATAGCCATATGGTTCGTCGCAATCAATAAGATCGACTTACAACACGTCCGTTCGAGCTATAAGATGATCATTTGAGGCTTGGTGTCGGTCAAGTACGATTGAGAAACACCGAAAATGGAAAACTGTTAAATATATACGTGTTTGATATTCATTTTTATTTCGTTTAACCCCAAAGATAGGCAGAGACTTTTGATATGTGGGTGGGATATTGAAATTTTTTAATTTTGGGATTTTAGAACTTTGAGACATTCAGATTTTGGAATTTTGGAGTATTGGAACTTTTGGAGTTTGCAATTTTGGAATCTTGGAATTTTAGGATATAGAATTTTAGAAGTTTGAGAGTTCAGAAGATTGAGATTTAGGTATACTGAAATTTTGCAGTTTAGAATTTTGGATTTTTAAGATCTTGCAGTTCTAGAATTTTAGAGTTTGAAAATTTTAAGTCCTAAGAACATTAAAATTTTAGAACTTTGGGGCTCTGAGATTTTAGGATTTTGAGATTTGCAAATATTGAAATTTTTGTTCTTCAGGATTTTGAAATTTTTAAATATAGAATTTTAGAATTTTAGAAGTTTGGGATCTCAGAAGATTAAGACTTAGGTACATTAAAATTGTTGTAGTTATGAATTTTAGGTCTTTGAAATCTTACATTTCCACAGTTTTCAGTTTAAAAATTTTACGACCTAAGAGCATTGAAAGTTTAAAATTTTAGGATTTCAAGACTTTGAGACAGTGAGATTTAAAAATTTCTGAACTCCAAAACTTAGGAATATGGAACCACAAAATTATTTTAAATTATCAAACTTTGAGAATGTATAACCTTTATCAATTTTGAAACTTTAAATCTTCCCAATTTTTACTTTGAATTTAGTATTGAATTTAGTTCTTTTATAAGACAGAGTTTTAATATTTGAGACTACTATTTGAGATACAAGGAAATAATTAACCCTTCACCTACAATTTTTTAGTTTGTTGCGCCATTTATAGCTAGCTAATTATTGCCACAAGTTAACTAAAGAAAATTAAAATGTTAAGTACATTTTGCCTCGAACAATCCTTCATTATAGAGATTAAAACTAAAACTGAACAAAAAGTCAATTGCAGTGAAAATACGAGTCAACTATAGGTGCGTCACGAATGTGTCACGATATTGTAGTGCAAGGGGTGCAACAGAATTTTCTAATGAAAGAAAAAAAAACTTTTATCTTAAGATTGCACTGTTAGATTATATAGTTAGATTATATTTTAAGATTATATACTTGGATTATATATTTAGGCTATAATGTAAGACTGTATAATTAAATTATATTAATAGATTATATTAATAGATAATATTGTTAGATTATGTTGCAAGAATATATAGTTCATTTATATTATTAAGTTAGATTATAAGTTCATATAGTTAAACTATATTCATAAATTATATTGTTAGATTATACTTTTAAATTGTAGATAACATTGCCTGTTGCTACTTAATATTGCTTGTAGGTGTACTGCTCGTTAAATGAATAAATAAGAAATGATTTCCATTTTCTCCCGGAAATTTCAGCGCACAAAACGTAATTATTCAGAATTACATCGCTGGCAACCGCAGAAAGAAGAAAACGTTTGTAAGTCAAGGGGTTAAAATGCGCTTCTTACGTTTGGATTCTGCTTTGAGCTAGGTCGCGAGATGTCACGCGCGTTAAAGGACGATCTTCGTGTCTCGAATACTAAATGTTCGCGAGTAATAAACATGAGTTATCGCTCAAACGATTGCGTGGTTGCATTCCATGTGTTCACGTACGAACCAAGCATGGAATGTGCCCACGAATACATAAACGCATGCACGATTAAAATGTGAAGCGAAGACACTCACCTTCGGGTCTCAGTCTGTCGGCAATAAGGCAGTACGGGGGTGGTGGCGACTCTAGAACATAGAAAAACAGGAAAATATATAAATTAAATAATACTTTTTCTCAAAAATGTTCTTTGAAACTTTCAAACTAATTTGACTTTGAAATTTTAACCCTTTGCGCTCGGGAGGTGATTCTCAATCACCATTTAATACAATAAAGCATTTTTGAACAGATTCTATAATATGACACGTGTGATGTATAAACAAGGTAAAACAAACAATAGTCAAATTATAAATAGAGAAATAATAACCTGAAAAAAATTCATTTAACTTTTATACTCCAAGTGCAAAGGGTTAAAACTAATATTACTTTAAAAAATATTCTTTGACATCCTTTAATTAATTCTTTCAACACTAAAAATTGAATGTAGTTAAATAATTATGAAGGAAAGAAATTGAAGAATTCTGTGAATGATATAAATATTATATTAAAGTGAGTTTTATAATTAATTTAAACTTTCATATGAACCATCAACTAATAAATAATAGAGAACTAGTAAAATAGTAGGATTATATTAGAGAAATGTAGTTGAGTAGTTACAGTGACGGCTCGTAGCTAAAATTAAAGGGTGTGTTGCTACAAAGAATTTTTTGGCGTTGTTTTAAAATTGTGTAAAAGGAAACAAACATGTATACAAAGAAAATTTATTTGGAAACTTGATGAAATTCTAAAAAAAAAAGGCAAACTTTTTTACTTACTATGTTAGTGATAATATTGAGTCTGTAATAGGGGTTGATGCAGTTCCACAGTGTATATGAGCCGCCACTATTAGTAGTATAACGGTATAGTAATACAGTGAAACAATAGAATAGTATACTAGTATAGTAATAGTGATAATAATAGTATGGTAATGTAGTTGAATAGTGAAATAGCATAGTATGAGTACAACAGTATAGTAATACAGCTGAGTAATGAAATAATATTATGGTAGTGTAATAGTACAATAATACAGTGGAATAGTGAAATAATAGAATAACAGTATACTAGTATAGTAATAGTGATAATAATAGTCTGGTAATGTAGTTGAATAGTGAAATAATATTATGATAGTGTAATAGCATAGCAATATAGTAGAATAGTGGAGCAATATAGTAATAGTATACTAGTATAATAATAGTGATAATAGTAGTATAGTAATATAGTTAAATAGTAAAATAACATAGTAATATAATACTATACTAATATAGTTGAATAATGAAATACTAAAACAGTAGTAAAATAGTACAATAATACAATTGAGTAGTGAAGTAATAGAATAATAGTATAATAGGATAATAATACAGTTGAGTAGTGAAATAATATTATAGTAGTGTAATAGTACAGTGATGCAGTTGAATAGTAACATAACATAGTAGTAATATAATACTATAGTAATACAGTTCAATAGTGAAATACTAAAACAGTAGTAAAATAGAAATACAGTTCAGTAGTGAAAGAATATTATAGTAGTGTAATTGTATAGTAATACAATATGTAGAGTAATGAAATAATAGAAGAGTAGTATAATAGTATAGTAATACAGTAGAGTAGTATTGTAAAATAGTAAAATAACAGTATAATAGAAATATTGTATTGAATAGTAGTACAGTACAATACTGCACAACAGTATGTTATATTATATTACAGTATAGTAGTGTAGTGCAAAAGTGTAATAGTAAAATAATAGAATAATATATAGAATACTAAAACAGCAAAATAATAAATTAAAAATAAAATAGTAACAAAAATAATGTAGTGATATAAATGAAATAACATAGAATAATATAATATAATAATATAGTACATAATAGTATCCTAGAAGAACAAAAATATAAAATAGCAAAATAGAAAAATAATGTAAAATAGTAATAGTTCAGTATAATAAAACACTAGACACCGGCAGAAAATTCGACTCTCAAATCTCCATCACCAAAATACCAAAGTCAAATAATAAAGTACATAACCTTGGTTCAAAAATGAGCCAATATTAGCTGGACGATTAATAGATCATTAAATCACGTCTACGACAGTAAGAAAAAACGGACGCTCAAGTAGCCAAGCCGTATCGACAGGAAACGCGACATTAAATCGAAACGAAGACATTTATTAACGGCGCCAACTCGATAAATCTATTTTCGTGGGAATCTCGTTACACCGGCGTCCCGATTCCGTTTTAATCCGAAACGGATACTCGTCGACCGAGAAACCGACCAGAGAATCCGACTCAAGGCTCCTGTTTTTCGATTAAACGAAGTTTAATCGGGATCGGATTGCAGCGAACGCTGACACAAACGGTGCCCGTTAGAAGCAACAACACCAAAACCGGCGGATTCTATTATTGGCTTGGACCAGTGGAAACCGGTACGAACGTTTTTCGTCCTTTTACGTATCGCCCAGAAAGCATAGAGGACAAATCGTGGCGGGAATAATCGCCAC